ATCATTGCGCGTTGTGTGTTCGTTTGCTTTGTCGAGTTGGCGATTCTTTTTCCCTTCAAACTGTTCTTTTGAAGAAACTTAGCATTTGTCGTGGAATTAAATGATAACCACCATCCATATGTTGGCGATTTTTTTAACCAACCACACATCGCGCATTTTCTCTTCCTTTTTCATTACTCAGAGTGGGGTAGTAAGCATTAAAATGGAGAGCTAATCCTAAAGACAAAGTATAAAACGTTAATATAGATCCAAATGTTGACGTAAAAATTGAAAGGACGAACTTATTCTTTCCCTTAACATTTTCACAATCGTCACCAACCGTTTCTTTTCTTTTCTTTCCTCTGATATTTTTTATTCCTGGCAAATGCAATCCCTTCAATATTTACATCCAACATGACAAATCAGACAGTTATCTCTCACTTCAACTTCGCTTCCCGCATCGATTTCTCATTGCCAGAGGGATGTTAGCATTGTCAAGCTCACCCAAAAACCGCATTGTGAACGTCGCCAAGCGGCTGCGTTAATTTTCGGCGGTTGCTTTACCGCGCAAACTACTTTCCCAGAAGTTTGGTTGGTTTGCGTGTCTCACGGTTTAGAGAGTTCCAGTGATAGCGTTTCCTTTAGTTGGATGATTTATGTTGAGTATTTTTGCAGGATAATTGTCTTCTTTTTTCATGTTTAAAATTAGATTGATGGATAAATCCGTTGCTTGCATCGGGATTATAGTATTCCATTTTTCTCCATTTCTCGGTGAATTTCATCTACTTATTGGGTGGGTCTTCTGCTTTTGGCAAAAAACGATTCATAATTCATATTTCGATTCACAAATCGTATTTCTTACCGCGAAATTCTTCAAGAAATCACCTATTTTGGGAAGGTTTGAAACGGAAAAAACATGTTGCTGGGTTATGTGAGAAGGAAATGTATTAAACTGGCGTTGTTGAACAACTAATGAATAGAACGAGGCAAATCGAGAATCGTATAGTTAGTATTGTAAGTACTGTAAGGAAAGATTACATAAAGGATTCACTAGTGGAATTCATGTTTACAGTCGTATCATTTAATCGGATAGGTGGGATATTTCCTATTTGTTTCCTTCCAGTAGTTCTGGTCTAATAAGCATGGATTATAATTATGCATTGTAGTCACTATAAATCAGAACCTTCGATCGCTTTTTTTTGGTGCAACTGCCTGACTTATGGAATGATTTACAGGTAAAATCAATACATTTGCAATTTTGGGTTGCATCTTCTTATCAGGTGCTACTCAAAGGCCTTCCTTAAGCAGATTGGTAGGTTTGTTTCCTTTGAATTTGCTGTGGTTTTTGAAAAGTTAATGGGGCATGAAATGATGAAGATCTATGAAAGATTTGGACGGTCGGGATTTCCAAAAATATCGTTTGGATTGCATTTCCCTTCTGTATTATATCAATTTTTTAAAGTTTTACCCTTGAAATGTCTGTTACGGAGCAGTGATTAATGCTTTCTAGTTTTCGCTCCACACCTTTTTTACGTTCTCATTCCTCTGTTGTGTATAAAACTAATTAACTGCGCTGAATCAGAACAACACCTTCACACTTTTACATTCTAAAGGCTTTAGAAATTTGTAAAAAGAAAAAACTACTTAATTGTTAGCTTTGGTGTATCACATTTTAAGGAAAATTAGTGGAATTCTCAGTTTGACAAATTTCTTGAATTTTCAAAATTTGTAACAGTCGTTGGGAAGTTGGTGCATATATTCTTTTCCTCAACTTATGTTTCTGTTTAATAAAATAACTGTGGTGTCAATAATAAATTCGATTAAACGTCTGGTAACGTTCTGATGTACGACTCAGATTTATTTTCCGTTTATTATAAATCCCATCTGCACCTGAAACACTTAGCTCAAGAAATAATATCTTTTTAAAGGAATCGATCTGGTTTAAGTTAAAAAGTCTAGTTATGCATTCTGAATTTCGTTCAATACATATCAGTAATAAAGCGATATCAATAGTAAAGCATATGAAAAAGAATTTTTACTGATCTGTTTGCCACTAGCAAAGTGATCACGATACCATGACCACAGAAATATTTGTGTACGTTATTATAAGGGAATTAAGTCAATGAGATCAATATCCATAACATTACAGTACTGAAAAACGAAGCCCGAACTAGCCCAGCGGAACACGCGAGCCGATCACTGTTGATTAACGAGCCGGAACAATACAGTGAAAAATTTTCGCATGAAACATGGAAAAAGTTGTAAATTATGAGCAAGAAAAATCCATTGAGTCATCTGATATAGCGAACGAAGGTTGGTACTTATCACTTCATTGACGTCCATTAACTTTTAAAACGCTTCACATTTGTCATTATTTTTGCATTTTTTAACATTTTTATTCTGTCCTTGTTTATCACTCTTCATTTTCTTTTGCTGTTTGTATTACTCTATAATCAAAGCAAATTGTTTTAAATGAATGGTTTTGTGTGTATCGTTACATTCATGATAGGGTATGAATCAGAAATAGGAATGTTGGCTGGATAGTTTGTGTTATCGCATATTTCTTATCTTACTAATAACAACATAACTTCTCCAGTAAACCAATGAACAACTTGCAATCTATAAGAAATGTATTACTTGTCGATTTGTTTCGTAAAATTGTCGATTTGTTTCAACTTGTTCATTGGTTAGTATTCGTAAAAATTACCTAAGAAAAAGCCTGCCAGTTTATGTGACAGAATTGGTTATGGGAAACAAAACTAATGCAAGATTGTAGTTTGGTTACTTGTGCAGTTGTTTAGTTGTGTGACATAAAATACTGATGAAAAAAGAAAGTCTGAATGTCCTGGAGAATATAAGTGCTAATGCTTTGGACTGCGTTAGTCTATTAAATTATGAAAAGTCGATTTATTACTTTAGTAATTACTTATAATATCACTAATGGTTTTAATGCTATGTTGCTTAGTTTCCGATTAAAAATTTTTAGGATCACTAAATCTAGCGCCAGGTGCTGAACGTTATTACACCGCGTTACAGAATGGTGGTACTGCAGGGGCAAGTGGAATAAATCATCCCGAAACGGGTGTTAGTGTTCTTGACTATAGCACGGATTTTCCGGAACTGCCGGACAAACCGAATGCATGCGCTTCACAGCTACTTGGCGGTGTATGGAACAAGCCTCCTGCTGTTCGTTCTGAAAGAACCACCCAGGTAATTTCTTGTTCTGTTAGTTTTCAGGATGTGACATATCATTTTCATGTTTCACTACGTATTTCCTGACCTTAAATTGTACAAGACAAAAGAAATATGAAAGAAAAGGAAAAGTTCCATTTTGCTTCTTTACGCTATGGGACTATAATGGTATGTCTTGTTATACCTGTTTAAGGAAATTGTGTTGTGGAAATAGCAACGGTTGATACTGCAAAGACGCTGAATATATGTTTACAGTTTCAGATTAAATGAGAAAACATTGTTATGTGCGTTGCCGTCTCAGATTATGCGATCCACGTAGAATGTTGTAAATATTAAGGATAGATTATACGGAATCCTTCTTGGTGCTACAATGAGTTTTGCTTTGTTTCGTTAACCTGGCGCTCCTGTATTTTGCAGCATTCTGTTTGTTCTAGATTAGGATATTTTTTGTTCATCGTAAAAGCTGCATTTCAGATATTTTACAGGTTTACCATCTCTCTGGCGATGAACGTGCTTCAAGAACTGGTAGTAAAAATTTCGGAAATACTAACGAAGAACAGCAAAAATGCAATGAAATAGCTATAGCAACTGGCACACAGATTGAAATTTGTGAAGCTAAAGATCATTCGTTAACGCTTTTAATAACTGGGAAACGTCAACGGGTTGAAGAAGCACGTTCACATATTGCACGCAAGCTGAAAACTCAAGCAGCTCGTGAAATTGCAATACCGAAGGAACATCATCGTGTTTTGATCGGTATGCTTGAAATAGTTTTCGCTAACTAGTGCCTTGGAAAGTCATGGTTAACTGTTTAGGGCTCACTGTGCCAATTAACACCTTAAATCAGCTTGCAGGTTGAGCTTATGTCATTTCGATAACTACTGTATTTATTCTTTTTACTCTAGGAAGAGAAGGTATCAAATTGCGACAACTGGAGCAAGATACGGATTGTCGAATAATGGTACCAGGCCGTGATTCACCGAGTGATATCATCAAAATAATTGGTCCACGTGATGGTATCGAAAAAGCAGTACATGAAATTCAACTTGTAAGCGATAAACAAGTAAGGTTTTATGCTAATCTTTGTTCTTCAACACTAATCTTGGTTCTTCAATTATTGTTACTGATTATTATTTACCATTTACTATTATTATTACTA